CTTTAAGAAAGTAGACAAGACTCCAGAAAAACCTGCAGCCAAGACTCCTGAGAAGACTCTAGCCAAGAACCCTTCAAAAAGTCTAGCAAAGTCACCTCAAATAAGTCCTTCCAAATCAATACGATTGCTATTTACAATATAAATACATTAATGTAGCTATGTTACTCATCTATAATTGATCGAGTACAAGATTCTGGGGTATTTTTGGTGAAAATAGGGTATTGGGCCTTGGTTCAGGAACCAATCCCCCATTTATAACATTGTTTCTTATGAGAAAATTGGTTCTGAGTTACAACATTGACTTAAGAGCCGGTTTTCAGGAACCAATTATGTTGCAAGTCCGAGGGCTGCCTGTATACACATGTATCTATAGAAAGTCCCTTCAGCCTTTTTGGTCAGCATCCTCAGTAGAGATGGTTCTTGTCTGGTATTAGGTAGTGTAGCTCACTCAGACTGAGCCAGGGCTATATTCAAAGGAAATTGTTCTGGTGCCAGCAAAGATCTCTTGCACTCTGTTGGATTCCGTTCTCCTAATGGACTAATGAAATGTGCAGATCACCCTGTGTAGGCACCCCTCAGGATGTGTTGCAAGGGCTCCATGATTAGTACACATTAGACAACCACTGCTGCAGCAAGCTTCCTGTAAATTGGGTGACTTACATTTGAGATCATCAAGTCCAGCCCCCTGCCCCACAGGCAGGAAGTCAGCTAAGGTCAAAGCATCCAAACGCTTTCTTAAAGGCGGCCACAGTAGGTTCTTGCAATGGCAATGGTTCTGCTGTTTATAGTATAGGGTCACAGGAAGCTGTCATTCTCCCAGGGGAACTGAACCAGGTCTCCAAACTCCATACAAGCCATCTGGAAGGGAAGCCAATACACTCAGTGATCAACACCTGACAACTAAGGAAATTGTCACAGGAACCAAGATGACATTGATGTCTGGAAGCTGAAACCAGGTTTCAGTGCAGGGAGGGGTGCTGGTGGAGGGCAACCTACTATCAGTGCAGACTTCCCCATTCTTCTCTGGAATAAGTTACTTAAATTGTGAATCTCATATCACCCACCCAGTCCTAAAAATTTCTAACAATGTCACAAATCTTAAGAAATCCACTGCTTGGAAATTACTTCATTCCAAAGCCAGATTGTTTCTCAGATTATTATGTTGCAGAAACTAATCAACAGAAGCAGCATTAGATTGTAGTAAGATAAATGTTCTTCATTTAAAAGGCATAGGGGTTTTTCCTGTCTCTGCTTGTGTCTTCTTTTGAGAAACAGTTATCAACCAGGTTACCATAACACCTCTGGGTGCTACAAAATCCCTTTGATGTCACAAAATGCTGGCATTGTTAGGTGTGCAAACACCTATACAAGTCACAAAATAAACCCAAGGATTTTAAATAGGAATCCATTGCATTAAGAAATTCTGATCTGTTGTGGTCTTTTGAGGGGTTTTTTTTTGCAATAAAAGTGCTCCATTATTTTTCCACAGTCAAGAAACGAATGAAAACTTAAGAGCTGGCATTTTCTGAAGAGTGCCTCAAGTCTAAAAAAGGTCAAAAACTAATTTTGATATGTCTAAAGTAATTTAAATCTTTATTTCTGTCAAAGGATTTATTTACTTGGATCGGTCTCTGCTCTTAATTGAAGGAACAATATCCTTCAATCTTAAAGATCATGTCTCACAAATGTTTGCCAGTAATTTAAAACTGACAAACACCAGTTTTATAAAGGTTAAAAATATTGATGGGTTTCACTGCCTAACTACTTGAGATTTCAAAATTCTAGGCTTGCTACAATCACCTATGGAGTTTCATTGTGGCTAAGATCAAATAAAGGAAGAAGAAATAGTCAAGTATCATCACACAAGTGTTTTGTATTAGGACAACTGTTAATATATTTAATTATCTTAAAAGCAAGTGAGTAGTGAAGCTGGAAATTTTGCATAAGTCAGAACTATTCACTTAGTCAAGACAGAGGGCTGAGTCACCTTGGAGTGACCCAACACAAGCTAGGTTAATAAGCAGTCTGATGGCAGATGAGGTCAACATTGACAAGTGCAGAGACACTTTTACTGTAGAAATGGTCTTTACTTGTTTATCTTTCCAATAACTGTATCAACTCAGGAAAGAGACTTATTGTATATAGCTCAATACAGACTTCCATCAACATGGACCCACCACAAACAAACAAACAAATCCAGTCCGCGTAAGAAATGGGAAGAAGACAAAAAATATTGCTGTGCTAGGAACCAAAAGTATGCTCTGTAAAACTGTAGGATCCCACTACATCCAAAATGAACACAGTAGAATTAGAAAGATTCAACTGGGCAATGAAAATGATTACCAGACTGCAAGAACTCACAGAAACATTAAAGAGATAAGGCTTATCTCTTTACAGACAATATAAAAGGACTTGATGGGAGTATAAAGAATAAGTGGTATAGATAAGGTAGCTATTTCTACTAACGTCTCTTATATTACAAGAAATAGGACAATGGGGATAAGACAACCTCTTTAGGCAGTTAGGACAAATCCCAATGTCCTACTTCATAAATAGGGGGGGGGGGAAGATCCAGGATTTATGTTGTTTATTTATTTGATTGATACATCACACTTTCCAAGAAAGGCTTGGGGTAGCTTACAGTAACGGAACAAAACAACATAAAAGCAAGTAAAATATTAAGTAAAAATTAACCCCCTTTGCCTCCAACAACAGCCTAACTTAGCTTTGTTTGCTAAATGCCTACCCAAATAGAAACATCTTACAGTGCTTCCAGAGGATGTCTAGGCTCCCTTATACCATGAAGCAGCAGAAATAAGGCACAGAACCAACTCTACCTCCTTGGCACATCACACGGTACACATGCACACACTAACTAATGCTAGGTAGGAAAAACAGGCCAAGAAATTTTAGTCAGTCTTGTCCCCTGCTCTACAAGCAACAGGGGTGGACATGTGTACCCAAAAGACCTGCTACAATTTCTTTTGTCTACCCAACCCCCAACCAAAAGCAGTCACATTTTTCAAAACATGGTGATTCAGGATGAACCATGAGTGAATGATGTTCCAGCCTGGTCTGCTGTCAGGTTCTCTTGATGCTGTTCCTCTCCAACAGGTCATGTGGACACTGCTGATCAGGAAACAATCTCAGTATTTCCAAGTCAAAAGCAATTTAACTTGGTAGTCATGGGCCAGAGAGAGAACTTCTATTTTGGCTCTTCCCCTCTCAAACTACCATCCCAACTACCATTCCTTTTGCAAGGCAATGTAGTCAAGTGATGATGCTAGTACAGGGGTGGGCAAAATATAGCCCACAGGCCAAATCTGGCCCACCAAGCCATTTATCTGGCCCATGGGGCCCCTAAAAATATTAATTTTCTAAATTTTATCTGCCCCAGCAGCTTATCAAAGCTGGCAGGAGCCAGAGGCAGTAGGACCCAAGGGGAGCCTCAGTAGGACTGAAAAGCCCAGCCCTGCCCACTTCCAGCCATTTCACTCCCTTCCTGCCCCCGCCCTGTTCCAGCACCCCCTAGCTGCCAGCTGCACCGCCCGACTGGGGAGCACAGGACTGTCAGTATGGGGTGTGTGTATGAGTGCACGTATGTATGCAGGCGGGCACAGTGTGTGCATGTGTGTGTAGGCATGGGCAGAGCGTATGTGTGTTCCCACACACCCACAGCTCCCCACAAACCTATACCCCCCCACAATATACAAGCATAAGACTTCATTTTAAGCTATTGTGCAATCATGTCTATGTGCACTGCACAAACGCATGTATATCTGGACAATATTTTTTTAAACCAAATTACTGAATGCTGTAGATGTTTGCTTTTTAAACTATACTTTGGTATTTTTCTGGTTCTGAGATGGCAAAACCTCTTGCTGAAAGCAATACTTCTGGGAGCATGGGGAGGGTCTTCTGGTGGCAAAGGTCAGGTGTTAGGGGGTGGGACTTCCAGTCATAAGATGGCAACCAGGGGGCAGGGCATCTGTCAAGGGCTGGGGCTACCAATACAGCCCTCCACAGCTTGTCAGAACTTGGTAAGCAGCCCTCAGCCTAAAATAATTGCCTGCCCCTGCTAGCAGGACGGCCATTACATACACAGCAAACAAAATGCTAGGCATGTTACCTTATGATCCACCATCTTTCTGAAAAGCCACAGGCCTCGTGGCTTCGAACTGAGGAGCCTAACAAATTGACTCTGTTAGGCTCCCCTAACTTGCTTTGTTGCAAGCAAGAAAGACGGAGAGCCTTTTTAAACGGCCATCTTTAACAAGCCTTAGATAAATGAATGACAAACACGGAAGGAGGCAGGGGCTCAGGAAACAGCCTCCCTACGGGCTCAAACAGAGAGGCTGTGCCAGGTCAGAAGCACAGGGAGCAGCATGTCCATGAGACACCTGGTTACCGACTAACCTACAGCAGTTTCTGGCCATAAGGTCCAGTCCTCGCAACCGCGCGAAAGCGAAGAGCGCCGGTCGCCTACGCACCCGCTCTAGGCGGGACCTGCCCTAGGGACGGGAAAGGCCAGAGCGACGCGGCCGTGGCTCCTCCTACAGCCGCCAGCCTACACAGGAGCCGGGAGAGGCGACGCCCCCCGGCAGCGGACCCACCC